AGGCCGTGCTGCTGCCCAAGAAGACCGAGGGCCACCACAAGGCCAAGTGAGGAAGTTAGAAACAACAAAAGGCTCTTTTCAGAGCCACTTCCATGGTCCTAAAAAGGTGACACTTGTCATTTTATGGTACTACCAGGTGTTGATTTGGGACGCCTGTTTCCACTTAGGCTTTAGTCCTAGCTAATCCTTAATCCTTGTCCACATTTCAGAATTGGTTTTTAGTGGCCGAGGACAGGCTGCTCCTGCACTAGGAAGTTAACACAATGATTATTGTGAATTGAGGCTACTTGGGAAGCAGCCAGATACTAAGCACTTGGACCTTCGTGTTTAACGCAAAAGCAGGAATTAAACCTACGTGAAAAATGCCCTCCCTATACTAAAAAGAAAAGTTTTTGTCGCCAGAGTTAAGTGGACCGTAAAGGTTGAGGAGTTGTAGAAACAAACCTTAACATTTTACTAATCTGAGCTCAGATTTTGCTTCTATTTCCTAATTCAGGCTCAAGTATCTTTTTTATCTTGTCAAGTCCTCACACATTTGTCTATAAAGTATAAAAACTACCTCCTTGGTCATTTCTTTGGGGTTGAAAATTTCAGTGGGCCTCTGCATGTAATAAAATGTGCTTTTCCTCCTGTTAAATCTGTCCCATGTCAATTTATTCCTTAAACCAGGTAGGGTAGAAGGGTACCCATGTCAATTTATTCCTTAAACCAGAAGGGTAGAAGAAAAAATTGTTTACCTTCCCTATAGTATCTAGGATACATTGCCAACAGGTTGACATTTGTGAACTAAATAGACTATTATTTCAGTCATTTATATTGAATATACAAAAACAATAAATTAACTCAAGATGATTACATCTAAGTCCATATCTGCAAATTAGTTGGGGGTGGTTTATGGGTGACAAAGTTTACTATCAAATCAAAGCAACCTTGCGGGGGATGCAGGAGTGGTTTCCATAAATGGCACACAGAAACCCAGTGGGGGTGTCAGGAAGGTAGGAAATCTTGTATCTTAAAACACTTGCCTTTAAAGAATTTTTTTCATGATGCTTACCAAAAGTACTCAAGTACAATTTAGAGTATTCTAATTATCCATATTACTACCTGACAGCACATACATTACCACACTGCCAAATGAGATCTTCAATACAGCAGTACAAGCTTGGTGATGCCAAGGCTGATAGTGCTATTAACTTGATTCCAAGTTTTGATGATGGAGACCCCCAGTTTGAAAAAAAAAAAAAAAGACTTCTGAAAAGCCAAAGGCTGTTTTGAGAATAGTGAGATCAAAGATCCTGGTATGTAGTCCATGTTCCTATATAAGGCAAAGCAAATCTCTCCACTCTAGGCCTCAGAAAGGATTGGAATGTTTATTCCACTTACTAGTTTTGCCATCTCAAGAAACGGAGACACAAAGACTATTTCTTCTGTTTCCTCTTTTATTGAATTTTAATGTACTTAAACTTTCCATAAATACTTATTTCATATTCAGGTACAGTGCATTAAGGACACACCAATAAAACACTGCTTATCCAAAAGAAATGCAATCTAATGGGAAGAATCACACAAAAGCAAATAATTAAAACACAATATAGCAAGAGACGTAAGTACAGGAAATTAGGAGGGCATAGAGGAGTAAGGTCTGTGAGAAGGAACATCTGATCTAAAGGTTAAAGGAAATTGGGAATTAGAGGAAAGTATGGGGATCTCCGCAGAGAATGAACATCATTAGACTCATGGCTTGTGTTATGTTCAGGCAAATGACATGAAGTTTGATACTGGCAATAAAGCAGACAGGATGGAGCCAGAGCAGATCTGCAGGCCACGCCATTGGTTTAAAATACTACTTTATATACTAATGACTCCTAAATCTTTATGTCCATCCCAGACTTACCTCCTGAGCTCAGACGTGCATACTCATTCTTGTAGATCTCCAGGAAACTCGAAATGCCTATCCAACTGGTCAACACCATCACTACTCCTCCAGGGGCCTTCTTAATAAATGGCCCCACCATCCACATTAGCACGAGCCAAAATGATCCGGTGTCACTATTTGTTTTTGTGTGCCATTCCTATAGCAAAACTCAAGTTCTAGTACAGGGTGATGAGAGAACCTTGAAAGCCCAGAAAGAGCTTAGGTAGAAGGCCACAAGATGACCAGTTTAGCACATGGAGTGTTTTGAAAAGCATGGAGTATCCGTGTCCACAGAACTAAAAATGTCCACATTTAGGGCGTCTGGGTGGCTCAGTTGGTTGAGCGACTGCCTTCGGCTCAGGTCATGATCCTGGAGTCCCGGGATCGAGTCCCGCATCGGGCTCCCTGCTCAGCAGGGAGTCTGCTTCTCCCTCTGACCCTCTTCCCTCTCGTGCTCTCTCTCATTCTTTCAAATAAGTAAATAAAATCCTTTTTAAAAAATAAAATAAAAATGTCCACATTTAACTAGAACCACTTGCTGCTCCTGAATAAATCTTCATATAATCAGAACCAAAAGACTAATTTGGAGAATTCAATTTCATGCTTTATCTCCAGGAGAGGGGGCTCTGCCCAGGCAGCAAGAGTATTGATCAGTGGGGACAGGGACTTCTGTGGGTGCTTTGTTTCCCAGCCCATATGAAAGGAAGGCACTGCTTAACACTCAAGAATACCATTCTGGTTAGAATTTGGCCTTAGAGTGGATCACCATGGCCTCAAGTGTGTGTTGGGGAGTGATTTGTGAGGGAGGGTTCACATCTACATTTCCTTCCAGGGGAAGGCAGATTACTGACAGGACACAGAATACTTTCTTTTCCTGGAAGGTATTAGGACATTTCTAACTGGTAAAATATTGGCACCATCCTAAATTCCAGCTGTGGAGATCACAGGTCCTACTTACGATGAAGTCACTTACAGGAAGGCAAATAGCAGGATCATGGTTGATGGCTTAACAGTTAGCAGTTGTGATCTTACTACACAATTTCTAAAGTACCATGCAACTTAGAAATTTCTTTCCATCAGCTTCACAAAGTAGAAAGGAAACGATGCAATTTCCAGGTAGTCTTCCTGTATGCTTAAACGAAGTTGTGTGCCGTTCTGAGACGCACACCAGAGCCGAACAGATCAAGTAGGGGAAGTATAAGCCAGAGTGCAAACCTGTCAAGGTAAAGGAAAATGCACTTAAGGAACTTCAGTAGACACTTCCAGAAAGAAAATTGTAAAATGCCCGGAAATGGGGCCTATCTGGCAGGTGAAACCGCACTACAGATTACAGGGAAACAGGCCTTTTCAGCGTGCATGTGGGTGGCTCTGAAAAGAGCCTTTGTGAAGGCGTGGGCAGACCGTGTGGCTCAGGCCCTCTCCCCGCGGATGCGGCGCGCCAGCTGGATGTCCTTGGGCATGATGGTGACGCGCTTGGCGTGGATGGCGCACAGGTTGGTGTCCTCGAAGAGCCCCACCAGGTAGGCCTCGCACGCCTCCTGCAGGGCCATCACGGCCGAGCTCTGGAAGCGCAGGTCGGTCTTGAAGTCCTGCGCGATCTCGCGCACCAGCCGCTGGAACGGCAGCTTGCGGATCAGCAGCTCGGTGGACTTCTGGTAGCGCCGGATCTCGCGCAGGGCCACCGTGCCGGGCCGGTAGCGGTGCGGCTTCTTGACGCCGCCGGTGGCCGGCGCGCTCTTGCGGGCCGCCTTGGTGGCCAGCTGCTTGCGCGGGGCCTTGCCGCCGGTCGACTTGCGGGCCGTCTGCTTCGTGCGAGCCATCGCTTGAACGCCCAACGCCAGTTAGAAGCAGAAGCTGGTCAGAGTATTTATAGTGAGAGCCAGGAGCTGATTGGACAAAAGGGGACCAGTCTACACACCCGGGAACCGGATTGGTTAAGGACTCGAACTTTTTGTTTTGCCCCAAACCCCCTATGACTTGCCCCTGACCTTCATATATGTTTTCTGTCTGCTTTCTACTGGCGATTTGCAGTAGAAATAAATGCAAGCTACATAAGAAATGGTAATTCTTCTAGGATCCACATTAGAACAAGGTAAAACCAGGAAAAATTATTTTAAATGTTTAACCGAATATATCCAAAATATTCATTTCGACACATAGTCAGCAATTGTTATATATTTTACATTCTTTTTTATTTTGTACGAACCCTGCGGAATACAGTGTATTTTATAGATTCTGCACTGAAGTCAGACTAGCCACATGCCCAGTGATTACCGGCACAATTGGCTAGTGATTACCACAGGACAGCTCAACTCTATACCCTTTCCTCTCAATTTCTTATTCTTTGAATACTTAAATTTAAGATTTGTTTTTATTTTTCAGCTAGAAAAATATAATTTGCATGTGAACAATCCAAGGCAAGGAATTTCACAAAGAAACACATCCTTACATGAACTTCATTTTCAGATAATGTGGTAAGACAATCCCATTACAGTATGCTTCATTTTTCTATCCTGGAAATTCAAAATTATAACAGAAACCTATTGTCTTTTTCAATTTGGGGGTGGACCGGCTGGCTCTGCGATGGGCATGAAGCACTGTATGTCTGTAATTTAACATAATTACTCATAATTCCTTTGTCTTAAAGAATCTAATCCCCCACCCCCCACCAGTAAGCTGCATGGGGATAAACTAAGCCACTAAGCCACCTCTTTGCATACATCAAGTAGTTCTAAGTTAGCAACTGGCAAAACCATAGGATAGGTTCACTGCATGGCATGATGCATCTTGATGCCTAGTGAGCTAGAAGTCACCAAGGCAGGCAATTCTAGAATCTAATTTCATTCGTGAACCAAGACCTTTAAGTCACAATTTTAAAAAGGCATTTAAAAAAGCCAATCAGCTACCTAATTTTTCAAAAAGAGGCTGATTGAAAATGTCAATTTAGCAATGTGGAAAAGACCAGATTAGGTGTGTCCCAGAATTCTAAAAGCTCTGAAAACAGCTTTGGATTGGTATGGAGGCTTGGGTTGATCCCTTTAACTTCAGGATGTTTTTAATTACCAAGAGCCAAGAAACAAGGTTTTGAAACTGCTGCCTTTGCCTCAACTCCACCGCCAGAATTTATGCCTTTATGAGGCTTAAAATGGGAGGTTAGGAACGTCCGTAATTAAGTGTGAAGGAGACCCTACATTATGTATTTACCAAGTGCCGATGAATGCAACCCAGGGTTTAGGATATTCCCACGAAGGCATGGGATTTTTTAAAAATTGCAGGCTTTGCAGAACCTAACTGATCAAATTGTCCTCCCTTAACTCAAGTTGTGAAGCTGATATAAACTGCTGTAAAGTGAAGGTTTCTCAAAGTGTTCAGTTCTTCACAGAAAGTCGTAGATGGCTCTTAAAAGAGCCTTTGGTTTGGGAGACTTGTGTGGCAAGTTGAATCGCGATTCTACTTGCCCTTGGCCTTGTGGTGACTCTCGGTCTTCTTGGGCAGCAGCACGGCCTGGATGTTGGGCAGGAC